ATTTTTCTCCGTTGCGTGTCGCTTCGCGTTGAATTTTCGTCGATGTTAAGCCTAACGAAGACTATTGAATCGTTAAAAATTATTTTTTTATTTTGTACAAACAAAATAAATATATTGAAAAATATAAAAACAATAAAAATTATACTTCAGAAGTTAATTTAGTATCAAAAACATAAAATATTTGAGTAGCCCAAGATATAGCCAAAGATTGCAGCGCCACAGCACTGGCGAAAATTTAAATTTGCCGACGGGAATTCTTTCGGATAACCGACTTTTGGATAAACAACACTCTACTGTAATAGGCATGAATAGAACAACTTCAGAAGGCATCTATATTGATTAGGCAAAACATTAAGCTTTAAAATGTTTTGGATTTCCATCATTTGTTAGAAAAAACTCTCATGGATAAAGCAACAATATGTATGATATTTTTCAATAAATATGATGACTTGTTTTTAATAGACTGGCCATCGATGATGAAAATGCATTGTGTACACTCATTGCCATAAAAATTAGTGCACCAATTAGTTGTTGGAATCAAATGAAATCGTATATGGTGACTGTAATGGTGATATAAGTGAGTGATTACAAAATGGAAGGAGAAGTATCATTTATTGCAGGAAAAACTACAAATGAAAAGGTTCTAATACTCTGTTGGGCCACTCTAGTATGAATACACAATGTGATAAGGTCAAGCATGGAGATATACAGGTGCCATATGGTGTCCTGTGGCATCTCAGTTTACAGTTGCTGCAAGTGGTCGTCTAGTTTGGCCAAACTTTTAGGCTGTCCAACTTGGTGTCCCTATTTGATCCTAGACATGTTCAATCTGTGACAAAGGGGACCAGGCAGGCCAGGGAAGTGTGGCAATATGATGGAGGCAGTCCTGTGACACCCTTGCTGTATGTGGTCAAGCATTGTTCTGTTGGAAAGTGGCTCTTGGGATTCCTGCCATGAGAGGTAACACCTGTGTTTGCAGGATGTCATGGTCCCTTGGATCACTACTAGAGGTGACTGGCTGTCGTATGTGATGGTGCTCCAGACCATCACACCAGCTGTGGGGGCAGTGTGCCACTCCAAAGCATAGGCAGGATTGAGCTATTCACCACAGGGCATCCAGACATGAACATGCTTGTTGTCAGTGCCTAAACTGTATCTGGATTCATTGCTGTAGACAACCTGGTTTCATTGTGTTGTGGTCCAATCCTGTTGGGAGCAACATTACTCCAAATAGAGGCAACAGTTGGTGGTAGTGTCAGTTGCAGCACATGTAATGGCTGCTGCAATACCAAATGGTCCTCACCCAAGTGCCTGAAAAGTATGGACAGACAGGGACCTGTAATGATAGTGCCATCTGTGTTTAGATGACAGACAATAATATAGTTGGCTGTGTGCATGCTTGTCAGAGGACAACATGGTCCTCTCGGCTAGTGGTTTGTCGAGGGCATCTTGAGCGTGGGTATGTTGTATGAGAGCTCTCTCTCATCCACTGATCCTAACATCACCTCAGTGTTGCCAAAATGGCCTAGGTGGTGAGCTATTTGGTGAGATGACCATCTGCTTTCTCTTAACTCAATGATCTTCCCCTCTCAAACTCAGTTAGTTGTTCATATGGTCTTTGATCGTGATGTAAAGTCATCTCTAATGATAATGTCCCTCTGCTACAGGAAGGATGCTCTTTGCACTTTTATAAGTCAAAAGGATGCACTTGTACATGTGTGACTCTGCTGGCATTATGCAATGAATCATCACACTATAACACTAATAATTTCCATATCTGCTGAGACTTATCTGCATGCCAAGTTTTGCAGTGATGCTACAACAACACCTCGGTGTGCTAATTTTTATGGCAATGAGTGTATAATATTGTTGAATGAAAGAGGTTATTCTTCAAAAGACATATATTAGTGCCTTTGTCTAAAGCAAATATTCATCAAAAAAGGTAATGATAGGTGATTGATAAGCATAGAGAAGAAACATGTACCATAAGATTTGTTTTTTAATAAAATTAACACTGATTTTAGATTTTAAAAATTGCATAGATTGGAGGAAGCATTCTCTGCAAAGCAGCCAGTAAAAGATAAGCATTATTGTGTTTTATGATGACAATATCTTCCTCACTTGCAACTCAGTAAACTGGGAGTTTTAATAGTGAATTTTACAACATCCATCACATTCTCGCATTTGATTCCAATTTTCAGCTTTTCTTATACATTCAAAGCTACTTTAATAAAAGATTGTTTAAAAGTTTCCTTTAAACAATTTTTGCACATTCCTTTTAACTTTTTAAAAGGAACATACTAATTTTTTGATTCAAATACAGGAAAATTCTATTAAATAAAATCCACAAACTTATGATATAAGGGTCAGCTATACCCAATTACTATATTGTGTGGATTCTATTTAATTAAAAAGTATTGATATAACATGTCCAACTAAGCATTTGAGAAAAATTCTATTACGTTGTGATTCCAAATTATCAGAAAAAAAGGAGACAAGTTATTTTAATTAACTAACAGATAAGTCTGGCGTTGCTCTGACGAAAAGTAACGATAGTGAAGATTAAGATTATTACATTATAGCCAATCTTGCCCATTAGCACAGAATGCAAGAATTAGGTCCTCCTGTTTTCACGCTAATTAGAAAATTTTTAGATGGGTCTAAAAAAATGTTCGATTTCCCGCAAAAAACCACATCTGTGCCTGTAAATCTTGCACGTCACTTTCTCTTAACACTTCCCTTCTGGGGAAGTGTTAACAATCTCTACCCCACAGGGGGAATTTTAAAAAATCCCTTCTTAGTGTATGTTCTCATGACATACCCTAACTGTGTACCAAATTTCAACCTTCAACTCCTAACTGTTTGGGCTCTGCACTTATTATTATTATCAACCTATCTCGATTATATATATAGATTGAACATGTAATTGTTAACAATTTTTCATTTTTTAATCAATTTCATTGTGAATTTAGTTAAAAAAAATCCAAAGAACTTTTGTACTAGTTTAATACTTAAAAAGGAATTGTTAATCAAGCATTTATGTGAATGCATATATGAAGACTGGATAAATGTAATAATGAATTTTTTCCTAATAATAATGGTATTGTATATAACAATACCAATGTCATTCATTAGGTGCCAAAAATTTAATTACTGTATCACAAGTAAATAATGATTAAAACAGTTAACATTTTAATGTTTAAAGCACTGTTAATTCATAATGATAACAATTACATGTTATCAGCCACATACTGAGACTGATAATATGAAATAAGTGAAGTTTTATAAGCCTTTTCTAACTTGTGTGTGTTTTTTGGAGTCTGCTAGTTTTGATAACATTAAACTGCTGATGATAATGATTTACAATAAGTGGAGTCTGTTGAATCAAAATTTCATCAACATACGCAAAAAAACAATTGTTAGAATAATTTAATGCTCTATTAGAATTAAATTTTTAATAAAGTTTATATATAATTTTGTTGTTACTTTTAAATATTAGAAAAATTGTCTTTCTATTTCAAAAATACTATTAAAATTTCTAAGTTGTATTTCATATTTTAATATTTTTGTAATATACATAAATAATAAATTAATAATACTATATTTTTGTAAATTATGTACTTATTTTTTTTTTGTTGATAATAGGAAGCACTTAATAGTGTCATGCCTCAGGAAACTCAAACTCTTCCATCTGAACATAGAAATATTCCAATTGAAGTTATAGATGATTCCAGTTATACAGAAACAAATTCTACAACATCTAGACCCAATATTCTTCCAGAGTCAGCTCATTCAGATCACAATATACCATTAGTTTGTGTTGAAGATGGACCACCTGAAATAAGGATTTTAAATATATCTGTAAAATATAAAGATAAGATTATTTGTCTAGAAATTCCTGATACTGAAAGCATAGGTAAGGTTTGTTTCCTTAGTATATGATATAGCTTAAGTGTCTGTTTAGATAACTTTTCATATTTATTCAAATATTATTTCAGCCTCAATAAAAACAGCATTATTTTCTGAATTTGGAATACTTCCATGCAGACAACAACTTTGTGGATGGAAACAAAATCACTTTACTGATGATGTAAGAATTAGATTATTTATAGTGAAAATACAGCAAGTCCTTATTTAACATTGTTTTGTTTAATGCCATTTCATTATAACATTGTTGATGAAAGATTCAAGTACATTTGTAATTATTTACAATTGTTGTTGAATTTTCTTATAAACAGCATAGTAGTTTCCGTGAGATTGAAAATAAATGCTGGAGGTTGCAAACATGATCCAATTACCGTATATTCCGGTGTATAAGATGACTGGGCGTATAAGATGACCCCCAACTTTTACAGTTAAAATATAGAGTTTGGGATATACTTGCCCTATAAGGCAACACCGGGTGTATAAGATGACCCCCGACTTTTGAGAAGCTTTTCCTGGATTAAAAAGTCATCTTATATGCCGGAATATACAGTAGATTAATAATAATAATAATAACACTCATTGACAAACACAATAAAATCACATATATTATTGACATAGCCATTCCAAATACTCACAATATACAAAATACATGCACTGAAAAAATTAGCAAGTACACAGAACTCGCCCAGGAAATCAGGCATCTGTGGTGGATGGATAGGGTGCTTATTGTACCTGTCGTTCTCTCCTGTACAGGTGTGATACCACACACGCTACACAAAAGCCTGGGAACATTACAATTGAGTAGAAATACATACATCACACTNTATAGTAAGACACCAACCGAATGCCATAAATCAATCGGGCTATTTTAATGCTAAAATAGCCCGATTGATTTACGGCATTCGGTTGGTGTCTTACTATATTGGATATCGGGTTTGGAGATGTTTATTAATTGTGGTTAATACTTGTATGTCATGTTCATTTTATATACATCATTGGTAAATCTTGGAGAGTTATTTTTCTGTTTTCCACTATCACTGTGATATTATATAACACTGTTGACCATTGGATCATGATTTAAGCTGTTGCAAATGAAAGTGGTTTGTCTATTTTTTTTTTTTTTTTAATTGAGTTAATGATGACATTAATTACAATTGTATGTGATGTTTTTATAAACTTTTAGATTTTTTTAAATAAAATATAAACATATTTTAAATCGGAAAAACATAATTTCAACATACTACCAATTACCAATATTTTTGAATCAATACAAATGCAAATCTTTAAAATATATTGATTTAAAAATAAATGGACTTAAACCACTTTCATTTGCACAGGCTCATTTATTCTAGGAAGGTGCTGAAAAGAATTGGTGATAAGATATATTCTTATTGGACTTTGTTCAATAATAAATGTCTGGTTAGTGTTTCCTTTTTATATCTGACTTTTTATACAAGGATTTAATTAATTTTGTAATTTAAGATCAAGAGCACATACTGTATATTATCTTTTGTAATGTGTCATGCCAGATAGAATTGAAAGGTTTCTGTAAATCATTTAAGTTACGACACACTGTCATAGTGCTTTTGCCCTACTATATATAGACCTACAATTAAATACAGTAATACCTCGACTTATGCTACCCTGACTTACGCGAACCCGGAATTATGTGATTTTCAAATCTCGTCGATTCCACTTTTGTTTGAGTGCCACGCAACTCTCGATTACTCACTCCCCCCACACTGTTGTTTGGCTTACATGTTCTGACATGTGTCGTGCGGAATCGACATATAACTACAATTTATTTTGTGTTATTTATTTCTGTGTTTGTTATATCTACTGAGACTGGAGAGACTCTACTATGTCATCCAAACAAAGTAGAACTGATTATTCTACATCAAACAAGAAAAAACTTTATCTTTGGAATGTAAAGTTAACATTATTAACTTCGATACAAAAATGAAAATTTGTGAATTGGCAAAGAAGTTTGATCTACCGGAATCGACNACGAAGTAGAACTGATTATTCTACATCAAACAAGAAAAAACTTTATCTTTGGAATGTAAAGTTAACATTATTAACTTCGATACAAAAATGAAAATTTGTGAATTGGCAAAGAAGTTTGATCTACCGGAATCGACAGTCAGAACAACTATAAAAGGTAAAGATAAAACTCTCGAAGCTGCGAAAAATGCTCAATCTTTAAATTCAAGCATCATTCATAAACGTCATGGTGTTATCGTTGACATGGAAACAGTGTTAAAATTATGGTGTGATAATCAAGTAAATCTGAAAAATTATATCTATATATATAAAACTCAAAGGTGACTGACATAGTGATCTATCAACGCACAGCCCAAACCACTGGACGGATCGGGCTGAAATTTGGCATGCAGGTAGATGTTATGACGTAGGCATCCGCTAAGAAAGGATTTTGATCAATTCTACCCCCAAGGGGATAAAATAGGGGATGAAAGTTTGTATGAAACTTTGTCAATTTTAAACCGATCGGGCTGAGACTTTGCATGCATAAAGCTACTATGACGTAGGCATCCCCTAAGAAAGGATTTTGATAAATTCCACCCCTAAGGGGATAAAATAGGGGATGAAAGTTTGTATAAATCTTCTTAGATTTTCGACTGATTGAACTGAAATTAAAGATTGGAGCTACTATGATGAAGACGTCCGCTTAAATAGGATTTTGATAAATTCAACCCCCATGGGGGATGTAAATGTATTAGTTTGAACCTATCAGTACCTAATGGAACGAAT